AGGGCAATCCCATGTTGAAAGGATTTACACTTTAAGAAGGTGATGGATTTGACTCTTTGGCACTGTTACTGTGATACAGAGCAGCAAAGTCTACCTGAAAGTTTCCCAGCCTTTAAAAACTTGCAGTAATTCTGCAGCCAGTCCATTAGAAACAGTGTGCTAATGAAGCCTTGTTTCAAACTGACAAGCTGTAAGCAGGACATGAACAACAAATTCTGTATTCACTTATAAAATGGAATTAAATAGGGTAAGGAGCCAGACAATGGGAGTCCAGCAGCAGCCACCAGATTTATACCTGCTGTGCTTAAAAAATGATTCTTAAATGCTCTATTCAGTGTCATAGCTAATTTTGAAGGCAGCAGTGGTTCTGGAGTTCATCTCTAGACTTAACAGTGTTACAGAATCAAAGATTTATTCTTTTTTTTTAAAACAAAAGTTGCACGTCATTTTTAAACATTTTTAAACATTTTTATACTATTGTTGGCTTTTTATAGACTTGTGCCAGCATTATAGTTTACCTTTTTGTGATGTAGCAATCACACACGTGCGTGTTTGCTAGTACAGACTTAACCTGTCACTGAAATGTTTTGGTGCAATAAATATCCATCCACCATAATTATATAACTGACTTACAATATTTCTCTTGAGCTTGTTAAAATTAGGTTACAGTTAACTTTTTCCCTCTTCAAAGGAGAGCTGAGACAAGTAGGCCAAAATGTGCTAGCAGGAGAACTTTCTTAATTAGGAAATTAGGCTACTTCTTTCAGTAGACAACAAGCATTGTGTTTTTCTTGAGCCAAGGAAATTTAGCCTTGCTGTGTTACACATTAAAGTGCAGCTAACCCACAAAGTCTGCATTTAAAGCAAAGTATTGATCCTATATTTGAGTAGTGTGAATTTTTTATTTAGTTGCTCTAACTGTTGAACTGACAGTGAACTCTCCAAATGCAGTCAGGACAGTGACTGGAAGGACACAGGCTGCCACCTGCAATGAAAAGCAGCAATTTTTTGATGCTGCAGCCCCTGCTCTGACAGTTTTCCTGGCTCTTGGTGA